GGGTATCGAAAAAGGCGCGGCCAGTCCGTATTAGTGAAAGTGGACACTGCTGCGACATACGGGACCGTCAAGCGCGCGAAACGCAAGTTCGGCGAGATGGCCAGTGACTCGGATGGCGTTCCCACCAGCGACACAAGTTCCAGCTCAAATCCCGTGTCCTCCGACTCGACGCCAGCCGCAAACACCTCCGATGAGACAGCAGACATTGACCCCGCGGATTTCATTCAAGAGGAACTGCAGTCTTTCGCCGAGCTCGTCGACGAGCTTGTACAAGGCGCCGTCAGCAATGATTTCAATCTACCGGAAGCCACTCCTCCGCGCACTGCCGCCCCGGCTGCAGAGCCTGCTAGTATCCCTCGAAATGAGGTGTGGCTCTTGCGGAATCTTTTTCTCTACTCCTCTGGTACGGAAACCTTTCAAACCCTGACTGAACTCTGGTCCCGAGGACAAGACAACTTAGATCTTGAATTGCAATACCAGGAGGTAATGAATGCATAAGTTTTCCTGCTATTGATCTATTAGACAGCATAGTATAATCCTCATTATCTTCATTATAGTACATAGTTCCTATCTTCATGTATAATATCTTAGTTCTCGTTTACTTCGTGTCCGTGAAGTCGCAATGCGTTCACGTGACTTTCACGCATTAACCTTGACCGCCGTTAAGGTTAAAACAGTCAAACCGCGGTCAAATCAGTTTAACCCGGTTTGACCACGGTTAAGCCCATCACTGGTTGGACTTGAACAAATTTCTCTCTCATCCTCTCTTTCCCTTCAACCACCACCATCTGCCTGTCCTCGCCTCAGCTCCTCTCGGCCTGTTGTAGCTGTTGTCTCTACTCGACATGGTACGTGTACCATATCTACAGCGATGCTTCGCTGATGCTCGATTTGCTGGGTAAGTGTGATACTCTTGCAGTCTCTGAACATACTGATGATGGAGCGTGCGGCATATCACCTTAGTAGTATTTTCATTTCTGAAACAGCAGGTGCACCACAGGAAGATTGGGTCTTGCGACATGCAAGATGTATCATTAGATGCTCATATGTGTATGTAGTAGATACATATAATGATTACATTGTTTTCCATGCATCCATATGAGCTGCGCCGTCGAGCAATGGGGTGGGAAAGGGGACCAATCCAGGCATATGGTATGGGATGGCGTGATTGATGTTATCAGTCCCGTGCAGGTCATGTGACTCTATTTGTGCAACATTTGCGCTATCCCGCGGCAAGAAACTCATGCAAATATTCGGTCTGATTCATTCGCGAGGGCGATTTTCTTGCTCCTGTTTGGCAATCTCAGCGCAAACGTTTGATTCCGGATTTTGACGCAACATTTGTACAAATACTGCCGGGCTGTGTAGCATTGTATGATAAGCATACCAAGGATACAAACACTACATATCACACGTCCTACTGATTGTAGAAGTAGGAGGCCGGCAAAGGTTTAGACAACCTGTCACGCTTGATGCTGCTCGCGGATTTGCGATTGTCACTTCTCATCGGGGAAGTAGAGTCCCGCTCAGCAGTTGCGGGACTATCAGGGAACACAGCATTCAGCAGATCCTTCAATCTCTGCGAGCTGTCGCGTATCTCACTGGTTGGTGCAGCTCCGCTATCCCCAACTCCTTGTAACGGGAGAGTGGACGCCCGCCCTTTTGCCTTCTCCAGATCATCCTCCGGGGTCGGCTCGGCATCGAGAGGAAGCGGAGATCGAAGCACCATAATAATCAGAAAGGCAGCATAGGTCAAAACTCGAAGTAAATCAGCAAATACCGCAAAATATGCCAACGCTGCAGCAGACTCACGGAAAGCCGGATTCACCCAGCTGGCTATTAAGATGTACATGTTAACCAACATGCAGACGCCTTGCTGGTCAGGCGCTGGAACGGTATTAATCATCGACTCTTTCCTAGGTAAAACCTCGTGTTGACTCACTTTGATCAGGACAGTGAAATTTCGGCGTCCAGGCGACGTAGGCCACGGCCACTCCTGCAAAATCATCAACTGCTTAGGTTGTCTGGCGTCATGGCGCGTGATTATGCTCACCGATATGTGCCATGAGGAGAAACAATAGGCGTGCAGCATCCAGCCATACTCGGAATCTAGTCAAGATTCTGCCGGACTCATTAGACGGGAAGGTGGATGCAAGTGAACGACCACGGACAAGAGCGGGAGCATGACAATCGTGATAGTGTTGACGATGAGAAGGAGGACTGCGAATGATCCTAGCGCAATTTAACACATCTCAGATGTAAGTAAATTAGGACAGAGGAACAAGCGGCAAACTAACGTTGTTGAGGGTCAGAAACATCCCAACGTAGGAATATCTCCAGGCATAATAATACAATCCACACTAGACTGGTAAACGATACAATAGCTACGCGAGGTCGTTCAGTAATCCGGGCGGATTAATTACTGGGACGTACTGAAGGCGATGCCCCTGACTCGTAGAAATACAGGCGAAGACATCCAGGGTTTGCATTAACGTTCTCAAGAGGATACAGCCAGCCAGGCTACCAGAGCCGGAGATGAGAGGAGCGAGCTAAAGACGGGGGTATGCCACGGAGGACTAGTTCAGGTGAACTGGCTATGTATAGGCAGTAACATTCAATTCACGTCGGGTCGGCCATTGGGCGGTGGCACGCAAATGAGCTTGAGCCTTGCAGAACAAAGCCCGTGGGCATGTTCTTTTGTAGTTTACGTGAGCGCGCTTGTCCAATCAAACTCTGTCATCGTTCGTCGGCATTTCCCGTCGCATCGGAATTCGATATGCCTCCGGCATGCCTTCGTCTTGCCTACTTCAGAGTCATAATCCTGCACACTTGCAGGCCGTATACCGCTGTTGCCCCAAAGCCTCCAGTGGATTCGGTCATCAAAGTAATCGCATCTAATACGACCGCTGCAATCGTGCTAATTTTGCTAATTTCACTGCACGCACTCAGGAGCCATTACTCTATGCCTTCCGACTCTCCACGCTTGCGCCGTGTGCGCTCATGTCTAACATGTTTGGCGGTTGCTGCCAATGCGTGGGTGCTATAGCGTGCCTTTCAGATCAGGTGGTGTTCATCATACATTTATAGGATTTGCGCTGGCGGGATCTTCACGTTCCCACTAATGTCTCCTGCATTGGCACAACACCTGAAGCTCACGCAGCCTCAATTAACGACCATAGTGCTGGCGTATGTCTGAATTCCGCCAATTTGACACTACCCATATGCCAAATTCTTTTGATGTACAGCGGCATGGTTGGTCAATATCCATTCGCAGCTGTGGTGGGGAAAGTCATTGACCGATATGGCCCGTGGGCTTGCTCGCTCGTTGCGTCCTTACTATTTTCCTCCGCCTTCGGCTTGTTTTCGCTAGAGATCTCGAAGACGCCGGATGATATCTCGCAACCTTCATTATCATCGTTCGAGCGGCTCACGATTTTATTCTTCATTGGGGGACTGGGCACCGTATTTTCGTGAGTCATCCCCTCGTCTGTAACGATTACTGGGTTCATCTTGTTCAGGTACTTCTCCGCCTTGTTTGCGGCATCGAAGAACTTCCCAGAATACATCGGCCTAGCCTCGGGGGCCACCATGGCGTTGTTCGGACTATCCCCCCTTTTCCTCTCTTTCCTGGCGTCTGCGTTCTTCACAACACCGGAAACGGGATTAGACGTGTCTCACTACCTGACATGCCTTGCCATACTTGCGGGTGTCGTGAATTTCTTCGGTGCCCTGACTATGGGGACCCCGCAGACGCTGGCGCAAAAGGCTCAAGAAGACGCGGACACTGAGCAGCCGGATGAACACACACAGTTACTGCCCGGAAAGGTATCGACGGCAACCGGCGACGTTGTTCCTGTCGAAGAAGATGGAACAGTGCTCGATCTGCTTAAAGATGTCCACTTCGGGGCTCTCATCGCGGTCGCCCTTTTAGTCTGTGGAGTCGTGAGTATCTTGCGGATCTAACAGTTGGAAGCTTTCAACAATTCAACAGTGCGAGATGATAATGTCGAATATGGGCACTATCGTGCTTTCCCTTCCGTCCTATTCAAGATCACAATCCCAAATACCGGGCATTCAAGAAGTTGGGACCGACTCCGCGACCTCTACGCAGGTCCGTCTTCTGTCACTTTCTAACACCATATCTCGACTGGTGGTTGGTCCTCTCGCGGACTTCGTGTCTCCTGTGGCTTCGTACCTCCCGAACGGCAACCGACAATTCTTGCGCAAACACCACATTAGCCGTGTCGCCTTCTTGGCGCTCGCCTCTATATTACTCGCGGCTACTTTCCTGGCTACAGAACTGAGAGTTCGAACGCAGCAAGATCTTTGGATTTTGAGGTAATGTGTGCCTTTTGTTTCTGCTTCACATGCTAATGGTTTCGCAGTGTGGGCACTGGGATAACATACGGAACGACCTTTACAGTTCTGTAAGTTGTACGTCTCGTCTTTCCATGCCACTGCCTGACTGAGACTTTCGTTGTAAAGGCCGAGGTGAGAGACAGTGCCGTGCCACGAGTCTGGACTTAACCTACTTCCATGCAGCATCATCTCGTCCATATGGGGTCTCAAGAATATGGCGAGAAACTTTGGTATCGTCTCTTATGCGCCGTTTGTAGGCACACCATTGTTCTCGTACCTGTATGCATTCGTTGCCGCTGATCATGCCCCGAACGGCGGTGTTTGCGAAGGGGTAACGTGCTGGGAGCTTACGTTCTGGGTTTCGGCCGGGGCTGCTCTAGTTGCGCTGGGTGTGTCTTCGTTCCTTTGGCGAAGATGGAAAGGAAAGTTGTGACTTGCTTTACTCGAAGCTGTACGAGTACTAGTATTCCATAAATTTGCAGATATATGGCGGTAATCATGTCATAGGTATACATAGTATGTATTTTACTATTAGTAATGTGTTTGAATGCATAGTACGGCGGCCCGGTTGGACCGGCCAGGAGTCATCATCATCGTCATCGACGGCGCGTAAACATGCACTCGGTCTCTCCGGGTGCACGTATACATCTGTGCGACAAACCTCATCAAACGCACCTTTTTGCTCTATTGTGCCTAGAACTACACTGTCATGACTGCTAGACCTGGACCCATACTCTTGCATACAGCAGCAGCGGCTGTCATGGCATACGGTTACAATAACCTCGGAAGCCTTATACAGAATGCCTGGATTGAGAAGCAGAAGGGCGGACATATGCAGTTTCTGACCATACAAGGGTGAGATTTCTTAAGGCTCGCGAGTTGTTACAAACGTACTGAATGCGGAATACTACCCGTCGATAGCCTTATGATTGCCTGGTTGACCATGATCATTAGCTTGGTATTGGACCTATTCCCATCGTTGACGCGTATGCTTCTTCCCATATGAACTCTGTTGTCGAAGCTGAACGATATCTCGGGTCTGCCAGCTTTACGTCGAATCAAGCGGGTCCTTTTTATGATAGCCCTGCCAGTATGTCTTCACGAATGACGCGTATGGACAGCCCACTTGACTATGCTCAGGTGTCCGTAGTTGTTACGACCATATATTGGAGTTTAATTCTATTCATGCCGCACATGATCCTCCAAGCCAATCCTGGGACTACCCCTCCTACTTCGTCTACCGAAGCACCTCAGCTCATGCGGATTCCCCTCAAGATGGACTTGGCTTTGCATGCCGCGCCCGGCGTCAGTCTGCTTGCCGACTTCATGTTCTTCGAGAGGAAATATGACCAACAAACAGCCCTCTACGCGGCGCCTGTTTTGGCTGCGCTTTCCGGTGCTCTGTACGGTACCTGGGTCGAGTACCTCGCCAAATTCAACGGATCATGTGAGTGTTCATCTCTCCCCGGGCCGCGTTCGGGCAAGAACGACGCTTACGATGATCATTAGTTCCATACCCTTTCTTGACGGAGAATCCATTTGAGATACGAGTGGCCATATATACAGGAGCGGTTACGCTCGCGTTGGTATCGTTCTGGATCATTAACTCGGCGCACCCTTGAGTACTTCTCATTCTCAATGAAAGCTAGAGTGCTTGTAATTAGACCTATGTATGGATGATTGACGCCATTATTGTGGATCCAAGGCTCGGCAGTGGGGGTTTAACAGTGCCAATCATGTGGAGAGCGTCGGAAAGACTAGCTTGATAGTGATGAATCTGTGTCTCGGACGCTACATAAGCTGCTGCGGCCAACGGAATTATCGACGCCACTGTGGCTCTGGTTAGGGCTACATGCCATATCGGGTAAGGCTTCGTTTTCAGCTGCTTCCGTTATGTCCCCCAAGCTCGTGCCTTCGAGCTTTATCGGACAGGTCACTATTGGACCTGGTCAAAGTACGTAGTACGTATACGATTCGTTATGCGTACAACTTTGTAGATGCTTTCTCGCGCCCTGTTTAGCAACTTGAAGCCGAATACTTGCCACAATTCGCTCTCCACACGCACGCGGAAATCTCGAGTTATGTATTCTTTTCGCGAGTACATTGACCTTCCATACGCTCAGACCCCTTCGCGGGATCTATACCATGAATTCGACCTGTTTGCCCCCTCTGTACAAGGAGAGACGGCTCTGTTGCCACTGATTTGCTTTGTGCACGGGGGTGCTTGGAGAAGGCAGGCGGAATCGCTGACGTACTACGGTCTTTATTGACGTCCTTGGTTTCGTTAGTGAAGATAAGTCGTACCATCGCAGTCTCGCTCGGAAGCTGGTCAACAGTACAGGATACCCTGTGGCCCTCCCAAACTACAGGTTGACGCCGAAGTCGCCCACGGCGGATGATTATCTACACCATCCTACACACGCCGAAGATATCCTCCAATTCCTGAAGTATATCCTATCCTGGGGTGGCCCTGAGTCCCGGGCGCTTTACGATCCGTCCATGATATATCTGCTGGGCCACAGCTGTGGAGCCCACATGGTTACCTCGATCCTCCTCGACTCTTCCCACGTTACTCCTTCCCTGACCCCTCCGCCGAATGTACTCAAGGCCGTTCAAGGGGTTGTCCTATCTGAGGGTATTTACGACCTCCAAGAGTTGCTGAAGAGCTTCCCTGGATACCGAGACTGGTTTATCGAGAATGCCTTCGGCAAGCGGGACGACTTCAGTCTTTTCTCCACCACGTCTCTCGATGCCCGGGAACATGCCATGCATATTGAGTGGCTCGTGATCCACTCCAAGGGCGACACTCTCGTCGACGAGGTGCAGAGCCGTCTTATGTACACGCATCTCCGTTCATTATACCGCCGGCGGGATAGACTCGCGGACAACTATATTAAAATGAGCTTCGACGATTTAGACGAAGAACACAACGATCTCCTGCGGGGCGACAAGTTTGTGCAGATCGTCACAGACTTCATACGAGGACAGCAGTCGACCAATTAACGCAAGCGTGGGCGGGCTAAAATACATTCATTATCCTTCTATCTCCTTTCTCAAGCATACAGGGAGTTGAATACAGTCTCCATGACAGCAGCGGCGCGTTCGCAGTCATCTGCCGTGTTGTACAAAGGCGCGGGTGCCAATCGTATAACGTCTGGCTTTCGCTCGTCTCCCACCACTCCATAACTCTTCAACTCGTCGAAGACCTTCTGCATAATTCCCGCTCCGGTTGGTAGGAATAACAGTGACAATTGAGCACCTCTGCTTTCCGGCTCGGAAGGTGTGATTATGGTGAAACCAGGTTTCCCCACCGTCGGAACCCTCTCTCCTTCGGGTAACAACCGGGTATTCGCATCGGGATACAGTTCTGCTACGTTCTCCGTCGGAACGTACCATTTGGATTGTCGGAGCTTGCTTTCGAGGAGTCCCGTTAATTCGAGAGATTTGGCTCGAATGGGGCCCATCAATCCGGCTTCCTCGAAGACTTGCAAAGACCCTAGTAGAGAGACGGTTGCCAGAACCGAAGGATTGGATTGCTGAAAGCCCTGTGCCCCTCGGATCGGTGAAAAGGTTGGAGGCATCTGGAACCTTGTGGCAGGATCATGACCCCACCATCCCGCGAGCCTGGCGCACAGACGTAGCGTAAGTGCAGGAGACAGAAGCGGTTGATACCAAGATAATCGGAGCGCTGACAGGGAATCGGTTCATGCATCAGACGCCACTCACTTCGGCAGTACTATGTCGTCCCATCTGTCATGCATGTACAAGCCTGCGATCCCTCCCGGCCCAGAATTGAGGTATTTGTAGGAGCACCAGACTGCAAAATCTACTCCCCAGTCATGTAACGAGAGAGGCACGTTTCCTACGGCGTGTGCAAGGTCGAATCCACATATACATCCCTACTGCCGAATACCATATGCGATGCCGGCGGTGGATCAAATGGAAGGAGAAGTCAATGGCCGCGTCAAGTAGAGTTGCAGGGAAATGCTAGAAGAAAATGCGAACCTGTTCTTTGGCAGCCCGTGTAATGGATTGCATGGGAAACCACTGGCCGGTGTAATATTGCACCCCGCTGAACAAGACAAGGGCAATGGATGTGCCTTGTTCTCGAATACATTGCAGGATATCTTCTTCTCTCAAGACAAACTCTCCTGGCCTAGGCGAGAGTTCAATTATCGCATCTTGAGGCTCGAAGCCATGAAGTAGTGCTTGAGAAGCGAACGCGTACTGGCCGAAGTAGGTTAGAGAGGAATTACGGCTCGGAGAAATTCCCAAGGAGTATAAAAGACTTGCTTGATCGGAAGGGAAGGCACGTCCTTCACATAAGATCTTATACCGCGTGGATGATGGCTTGTAAAATACATTCATCATCAGATGAAGGTTAGCCGTCAAGGTGCCCATGCAAGCTACTTCAGATTCGTGAGCACCTAGGAACGCAGTGAGGTACGATCCATGTAATCAGGGACGGAGAGCTAGATTACCCAGTAGCCTAGCTAGGTAGGGAGTGACACGGTCGGCTATATTCATCCACTCTCTACCATGGGGGTGAGAGAAGTGGCCTTCCACAGCCCTGCGATAAAGGAACGTCGCTCAATAATTTGTATCAAGAACGGGGGAAGGCAATCAGGGTGTACCTGGAGCCCCAGACGGAAAGTTCTTCACTGACTAGTTCGGCCGAACGCTTGGGTAATGCACCTAGAGAATTTCCACAGAGATAGGTCGACGCATTATCCCCTACAAGCACGGTCAGGACCGGACCAGCAGCCGGAGACCTGGGGATCCGGCGGACCTTGTTCTGGGGGCACGCGGAGTGCGCCGACGGCGTTGTTTGATGGGAGTACAAAGAGGTGGCGAAGCATGAGAGCAGCAGACAAGGCAGAGGTTATAACTGCGGAGAGCACGTTTACGCCTATGTCGGTTCCACGGCGCCAAACCCCGAGGTCTTCTGTGGGCGCCCCGATCGATCAACTTAGATCGCCGGGTGATCTTGCGCTATCTCGGCCCAGCCAGTCAGCCACGCTTTACGAACCTTGGATATTACGTCTCTTCATAAACGGTCAAGCAGAATCCTCTCTTGCGCTGTTATGGAAGAGCAAAAGTCGCATGCTCGCAAGGTCGTTGTCGTGGGCGCCGGGCCCGTCGGCTGTCTCTCCGCGATGGCCATGGCACGCATGGGCTGGGACGTCGACATTTACGACGGCCGTCCGGGTGAGCTCCGGGCATTTCCAACTTACTCGAAATCTAACGCGTCCTTGGCCTCACGTAGACCTCCGCTTGCCTTCGTCCAAGGCAGCGACCCAACAACGCTCCATTAATTTGGCTATATCTTCGCGCGGAATTTCTGCGATTCAAGCGATCGACCCCGCTGCGTCAGACCGCTTCCTCCAAACGGTCATTCCCATGCGCGGTCGCATGATACATGACACACGGGGGAAGACATACAGCCAATTATACGATAGGTACGGCCAGGTAAAACACGTTACACTTTCTCGTCTCCTATCACGGACGTCAGCCTGCCTTCTCCGCGAGGCATGCATCGGTTCCAGGCGCTGTCAATACAGTACTCATATTTCGGCGAAATTGGGAAGCTAAATTAGTGCTCACGCTCTTCTTTTCCTATCTCTGTAGTGTATTAATTCGATTGACCGCGCCCTTCTCAACGAGGGTCTCCTGGACGAAGTTTCCGCCGTCCCGAATATCCGTATTTTCTTCAAGCATAAAGTCATAGCGGTCGATTTTGAAGAAGGTGCAATGACTGTTCAAGACATTGACTCGGGCATAAATCATCAGGTCCAGTTTGATTTCTGCATCGGGGCCGATGGCAGTTACTCCGTGGTCCGGCGCCAGCTCATGAGAGTTGTCCGGTTAGTTCCTGTCTCTGGTTTCTGGTAGTCTGGGAACCTCTTTATTCTTCATATCTGATATCCTCTCTAACCAACGGCGCCCAAACGTTACGTCACGTCCGATAGCATGGATTATCAGCAAGAGTACATTCCGCACGAATATATCGAACTCAAAATGCCAGCAGGACAAGACGACTCGGGGAAGCCAACGTTTTTATTGGAACCAAATCATCTTCACATATGGCCTCGCCATTCATTCATGCTCATCGCCCTTCCAAACAAGGTTAGGACACGTTATTGGGGGCATAACTCCATCTTGATCCTTATGTTGCCCGCATGGTTCTCACGCGCGCTCTTTCCAAACCCTAATTTTACAGGATAGAACGTTCACTTGCACCCTATTTGCTCCTACCACGGAGCTAGATCGTCTGCGCGACAAGCCCGCTATCCTGGAGTGGTTTAATGAATATTTTCCAGACGCTGTCAAGCTGATTGGGCAGGGAACTCTGCTAGCAGATTTCCAACGCAACCCTCGTAGCCCTCTCATGTCCATCAAGGTATGGTTAAACTCCGTCTCTTGTTTCGCAACCGGTGGCAAGAATAGCTCGATCATAGCGCGGCCACGCCGTAATTACCCGCTCTCCTTTACCGTCTTCTCCGGATTTATTTTGCGTCCGCTTACACTTCTCCATTTCTGGGGCGTAGGCCAAACCATATCATTACAAGGATCGCGTCGTTATTCTTGGCGATGCCGCCCACTCTATGGTACCTTTCTATGGCCAGGGCCTCAATTGTGGCTTAGAAGACGTCCGAGTTCTCGATTTACTCATGCGCGGTGAAGCCGTGGACCCTAACTTGCGGGAGAACCATCGGGCAGACGCGGCCATCCAGGGCGCCCCCGAGGAGAAGACAAGGAGGATTGACGAAGCTTTGGCCAGGGCCCTTCAACGATATTCCGACACGAGGCACGAGGACCTTTTGGCTATCTGCCAGCTCGCCATGGATAACTAGTAAGTCGTTGCTTCGTTTCACAGACGTTGCTACGACGGTTTAACCATGCCAAATGACTTCTCATCACTCGTGGTGACGTGGCCCCATTTCTTCCTGGACAGCGTGGAGATGCGACACTCCGTGACGACGCCGACCTATCTATTCCGCAAAGCACTGGACAATATCCTGTATCTGGCGACGGCCCGCAAGCCGCCTGCAGCTTGGGACGAGATTCTCTCTGACCCTGCTTCCCCCTTCCCGGCAGGCGAGGTCCGCAGCGAATGGCTTCCGCTGTATACCATGGTGACCTTTCGTCCCGACATCAGTTACGCCGTGGCGAAAAGGAAAGCCGAAAGACAGTCTCGTATTTTACTCGGTGTGGGATGGTGTGCGACAGCGGTGACTGGATTTGCTTGCATAGGCATTGGGCTGATGCACTTCAACAAAGTATACCGACGAATGTGATGTTGGACGCCGCCTGTCTGTTCGATTCTCCATGGCGGATATGTATTCCTAGAATCCATTAATTAAAGACCGCGACGATGATGAGAAGCGTTCGCTGGATGATGGGGAGAATGACTAGCACGCCGGCTCCGACCATTCGCATTAGGCTGACAGGCTATACATCATCCATTCGTATTCGCGAAGTGATAGCACGTCTACAAATAATAACAAAAGCGAGTAGAACATATAAAAACAAAAAGCAGTCAGGTCAGTGTGTGCTTATGAACATGCGGGACAGGGTAAAAGGCAGCAGAAGAAAGGAGCTACATGAGACGTTATACTCGTAAATAAACAAGGCCGGGTATCCAAGACTGGTGTACATTCTGCCCGCCTGTGTGTTCCAGGAATTGTTATGAGAGAGGCGCCGGACGAAATACCCGACGTTCACGACTTCGACTTTGGAGGCCTGCCTCTCTTCCTCTTCTCGCCGGTGTGGGCTTCACCGCCCTCCTCCTCTCTCTCCGCAGCCGCGGCGCTCGTCTCTGGCTTGGGGTTCTTGGGAGGACGTCCGCGGCCCCGCTTCTTTGCAGGGGGCTCATCCGTCCCTGACTCTGCAGCAGCAGCAGTCTCGGGTTTAGGCTAGCAACAGAACATTCGTCATACGCGGGTCGGCGGAGGGAAGTCACGTTACGACTCACCTTGGGCGGGCGCCCTCGCTTTCTCTTCTCGGTCTTCTCCCCAGTCTCACTCGTACTGGGACCGCCGGCGGAGGTGGCGGACTTCTTGTTCTTGGAACCCTTGGGGCGACCTCTGCCCCGCTTGACGGGCTGCTGGAGTTCTTCTGCGGACTTGTCGGCCGCTCCTGGAAGGTAGAAAACGAAAGCAGGGGGCGTCAGCGATGCTGCCGGATGTCTTACACGCGTCTCATCGATCAAAAACCAGATTCGCAGCACGACAGGTAGAACGCGAGCCTTACCGGCTTCCTCTTCCCCCGCCTCAGCTGGCTGGTCAGCCGGGGCCTGCTCCTCGAGCTCGTCGACTTCGGCGCCCTTGGTGACGTCGTCCTGCTCGCCAGAATCGGACATGTTGATAGAGGGGGGAGGGAGAGGGCGGAGTCGGGGGTTGGAAAGGAAGGGAAAGAAGACAAGAAATGGGTGCGTGTCTTTTTAATGGGTAAAACCCCCTTCGTTCCGAAAGGTGTCCGGATCTGTTCAGGTTGTAATTCTTCTCGCGTACATACGTGAACCAAACCGGGTTTATTATATCTAGCAGGAATCTGGGGCAGGAATATAATTCGCCGGAGCAGAAAAGAAGGATAAAAGGCTACGTAATATTGTCCTTTACAGCCCGAACGGCGGGCCTGAAATGATGTATCCACGGCGTCGAAGTGACCGAAAGGCCTCGGCCCTCGTCCAACATGATTAAACGGGCCACTCGCCGCGACGGTGCCGCATGAATACACGCTAGCGAGCGCACCGCTGTGCTCGCCGCTCGCCGGATATTCGCAGGTCACGATACCATAACACCCATCGGCGGCGCAAGGAGCTCGCTGCTCCTGCCAATGCCAGGAACCGTATTTCCCGTGCACCGTCCGCCTTTATTATTAATATCGGACGCATAATCCCACCTGTCAACCATCGGCGTCCTCGCCGTTCTTTGATATATTCCTCGAAATTCCAATCGAATCTCCATCGAATTATCATGTCCCATGCGCGTTCAGACCCCGCGAGGCGCTTCCATCGTGACTCCGAGTAACTCCGCCCGAAATAATGAAATCTCTCACGCCACCGCCACGATCTGGGCCTGTCCTAATCTCGCTCAGATTCCCCGCCGCGCCACTGTCTGCGGTACCGCCACCAGCAGCCACGCTGCTCTCCTCCCGCTGCCCTTCGTCGCTGCCCTCTTCTGCCTCTCGCCCCACTACATCCCAGAAGACCCCCATGCGTTTCCCAAATACCGAGTGACCTTCTTGAACGGCCTGCCCGTCCTTAATCAGACGGCAGACTCGTGGCTGCAGGGCGGCCTTAAAGGCGGCGAACGGGAGTTTCTCGAACAGCCGCTGGACGACGATCAATGGCAGGCGAATCCATTTCGCAAGGGTATTGGTAGCGGAGATGACCTGCAGCAGGACTCTCTGAGCGAGCCGGTCAGTACACCCTGAGGTGTTTGCATTATGTACCAGAACAATGGTTAATCATGCACAGCCAGCCCATTGAGAGGCCTGCTGTTAACTATTCGCTAGAGCTTATGAAAATTGGGCCCCATCATTCCTATCTCTGCTATATCCCCCCACCGCCGGCCAACCCACCGCCGACGGAGGACAGCCAGCCAAATGTCACCCCCGTGCATAGTTGGTCTCTACTGCAGCCGCTCTCTGGTACATGTTTATACGTGCGTCCGCTTGTTTTTCGTCCGTCCCCCTTTCAATCAACTAAACGCAGCCAATCACTACCTAGCACAAGCAAGGTTGGTTTACATATTCGTATTGCCATAATTCGCACGTCCGTCAATTCCGGGAGATGCCCCATGCGCACCCGCACCCTGGTAAGCCCATCACGTTGCCTTTGGTTATTTTAGAAAATGATAGATCAATTCGCGGTGCAGGGGGTTACAGGCCAGAAGAGGACCCTGATGTAAGTTCATTTCTTAGCACAGTCCTTCTCGAACTTGCGCTGACCTCATCCACCTTATCTGATATGCAGTCTGAGGTCTACGCTTTGGGAAGAGCACCCCCTGCCCGGAGCCTGGTGCGGAGCTGACTGTCTCCGAAGAAGCCGCGCTCGCGGCCGATGTCGAGTTGGCCCGAGACGCTGGCTCGAATTACCTGGTTCAGCGCTGGGGCGACGGTACAATCTGTGACAAAACTGGCAAGCACCGGAAAGTATAAGTCCAGGTCAGTGATAATTAACATAGATTACAGGGGTTTGCATAATGGACTGGACTCCGCGTTTCGCGAGCGGTGGTTTATACCAACCAGATAGTAGTTCACTTGACTGAGGCGCATCGGACCTTCTGGTGCTAAAGATGGGGAGACGCAACGCCTGCCAACGGCGCGAGTCGCTTAGTAAGCAGATTGTGGCTGAAGACTGGCACAAGTGCGCCTTGACCCAACTCGCCGTGTAATGACATCGGAGAGTGATTAGAATCTCTTGTAGGATGATATAATGGGTCTTTGGGATACAGAGGATGTGTGATGGCATTTTTCCCCCTTATACATAAGGATGTACATCATAGCTTTCCTATTCCCTCAATTCCCATGCTCAACCACCCATTGATTGTGCTTGCAATGCTCAACAGATTACCTTGTGAGATCCCACATACATCATGAAAGGTGTATAATTATTTTATTCAGCTGACTTGAGGCAGACTTAACCAATTAGCATGTATGACTCGGGATGGTACACTTCTTGTTATGGCTGTAGGCAGAGATATTATGCTTCAGTACACCCAAATATCTGCAAGGGAAGGGAACCATATCAAGAATGCTATATATGAAGTCTGAGAGAAGCTGTGCGGTCTTTAGTGCATTGGAGAGCGGAAAGGCGACCTCCAGTGTGACACCAGAACGCGGTTGTCACACACGTCACACAGCCAGACGCGCTGATTTCAGGCGTGTTGTGACTCAAATGCGCCACGCGCATGCAGCTTCCTAGAGTCATTTTTGGCTCTTGCGACATTAGTACCAAATGTTCTGAAGACATATCTGGATGTATCGGAAAACTCGGATTCTTCGAAAATGCATCGTATCTTCAAACACTAGTCAAACAGATCTCTTTTTCACCCTATATGGAGGGAAAGAGGCAAAGTACCGGAAATCCAACATTTCCGATACATTTTAATCATCCTTCTGAGCATTTCTCTCAGCTATATCTTAGCCTGATTCTCGCAGTGTGAAGTGATCTACGTGTTCTCATTTTCGTGACACTCGCTATTAGGGAACAAACAAAGCCAAATAACTCGCCGCGCGACCCAGGATTGCGTCTCCCCACTAAAGATGAGCTTCACTGCACCTCTCGAGGTACTGATTCCTCATGAGGAGCTTGTATGTAGGTAGTACAGTAGTATAATGGTACTATATGGGGTGTAATGTTGCAATAAGTAGGGCAACTATGATGCTGTGAAGAGCCCGAAGGTGATCCGAGGCTGCCCTTGACCGTTGCACTTCTGTGCGCAATGACCAGCCCGCAATTATGACGCACGTATGTACCGGGTGAATGCACACAACGAGAGAGCATTATGCCATATCACGAGGCTACCATTGAAGCTAGCCCTGGCCATTAATACATGGTGCGTACCAAACATAGAGCCTTTGCAAGAATTACTATGCGAGAAACATGCTCACCCGTCCAATCCACCACGTCCCATTCACCTACTCCGGCGTCACGATCTTGCGTACACGGCGACGTCGTCCCAGAGCCATCCAGGCTGGGCGAGGAAGAAGGCTCCCGCCGACGTACTCCTCCGCCGTTTCGCTGCGCGCCCCGCTTCCTCCTCGATTGTTTCGTCTGCCGCATCTGTCTCGTCCCAGCTACCCATGCTCCCATCGTCACCCGCAAAGGCTGATATCAACGGGGAGGGAAACCGTGGGCCAAAGACTCCCTTGTCCTCTTCGTCGTCCATGTCCTCGTCTTCCTCGTCCTCGGTTTCCTCGGTTTCCTTGTCTTCCTTGTCTTCCTTGACAGCCGCCGAAAGCTCGAAGAGGGTGTTGCTATGCGAGGTACCTGCGCCGGAGTTCTGGCCGAGGCCCAGCTCGATAGATGCCTTAAGATCGGCGCGCTGCGACTCCGCCCGTCGCGCCTCCGCCTCCGCCCGTTGCGACTCTGCCTGATCAAATCTGGCCGATGCCTCGAGTTCCATGCGCTTGTTCGCATCCTTTGCCAGAGACTTCCTGTACACCGCAGTGACGTGGAAGGGGTCCCGCATGTAGTCCTTGTCGTTGAGGCGATCGTTGTTTACGAACTCGCCGTTTTCAAGAATCTCCTTCCATAATTTGTCGAGCTCGTTGTAGTCGCGAAGGGCCGGCGCCGTGGGCTGCTTGGCATTCGCCCGATTCTGGTGCTTGTCGAGCTGATACAGATGTCGATACCAGTTATCAAGCATTTCGCCATAGTCCGTGAGCCAAGAGGTTAACGCCGGAAAGACAATTGGCGGAAGGCTTAGGTCGATGTTGCCGGTGCCTGTCAAATACGCCCGTTTGGCAGCCCCACCCACCGGAACACCGTCTCTGAGCGTATAATGCAGCAAGAACTCGTCCACGATCGCAAGGGCGTCCTTTGTAGGGACGGGCATATACAGAACTATCATGTATACGCCCACCCAGAAAAGAGCCTCCAGGTCGTCTTGAACACAGTGTAGGTGAGGCTTCTCGCCTTGCACGCTCACAGACATGAACATCCATGTGCCCTATGTACTGTTGAGTATCAGTACGAGCAGTACCACAAGGGAATACTTACTGTACGGTCAGAGCGCCCAGAGCTGTTTGGTATCTGTGCGAGGGGATTGATGGTCGGATCCTCCTCGCATGCCTTTAGACTGGGCATCGGTGCGCACAGATCCCAGTCCGTCAGTATGCCCCTCTCCGATTGAGGATCGTAAAGGATGTTCCATGCGCTGAAGTCCCGATGGAGCTTACTGCATTTGAAAACAGCCATACGGTGACCTGGAAATGGTCAACTAAGTGACGAGGGGATGTGGAAAAGCGTACAGGTTAACGCATCGTGCAGTATCTGAAGCAGATGCTTGGACGACAGGAACTCCCATAGAGGTCACCCGGATGTTTCCGCCAGGCGGAGGTGTATGCGCGGGTGGTGCGCCCTACGCTGGCCCTTGTTCCAGGACGCATCGACGAACTTGTGCGTCCGGGTCTTCTGGCGCGGCCCGGGGAGATCGCCGCCGCAGAAGAGTGTAGGCGCAAACTCCACATTCTCCGTGTTCAGCTGATCAATGACCACTGACTCTGGTATGACCTTGTCGGTCTCAGATCGCCACGAGTCTTTGATCCAGACGATCTTCTTGTCTTTCGGATCCCAAGCTGGGTAGCCGCGGGTCGCGCGCGCGTAGCCTGCGCTGTTGGACGGTCGGCGCCCAGATGTAGTACCAGCGCAGCCCCTTCGCCGGCTTGCCATGTTTGACAGGCACGCCCATCTTACGAATGGGCTCGGCGATCTGGGTCTCCTCGTTGATATATGGCTTGAAAGCCTCTCTAGCCGCAGCAGTCCTCTTCCGCATTATCCCATGCACAAACGGTCGTGTCGAAGCCCTGCTCCTCGCGGCTGAGATGATCGAAGCGGAAGAAAAAGTCGTTCAGGCGGTTCGGCTCCAGCTGCCCAGTCCATTCTGTTCGCTCTGTCACGATGATACCATCACGATCGGCTCGAATGAGGCGGAAGTAGTCCCTGGTGAAGAAGACGAAGAACGAGAAGCAGCGGAGCTGGCGTGTGTGGATCTCCTCGATGTATCGCAGGATCTGGCCTATCGACTCGCTGTTGCCCGACGTGACACGAGGCTCGAAGCGACCAGGGCTCGCCTTGTCGCAGAAAATGTCTTTTTCACGCTTCCCCTCGGCGCCAAATTCGCCTTTGCGAAACTGAGTGACTTTGCCACCCTGAACGTCCTCCGCGGTAACACTGATATATGTACCGTTGTCTGCGTCATAGGCTATCGGGTCAGGCTTCAGCTCCTCGCGAGATTTCGCGAGTTTGTCAGGGTTGTTGCTGCTGCCCAGGAAGGAGTGCTTGCGCATCATCGTCTTCGCGCCGTCGAGCTGCAGAGGTCGTCAGTAAGGCTATCCATGAGACCAGACGCTGGGTAGACGGCTCACCAAGATGGAATACAGGTCCGCTTCTTTGCATTTCGTCTCGACGATGTAGGTGTATTCGGGAGTCTCTGGCGTAGAGTTCTGTGGTATGAACTCGTGGAGGAAGTCTTCGATAGGCATGGGGTCGACACAGTAGCCGTACAGATCCGCAGTCATGTTTTTTGTCTGAGGAGCACCTGGGTATGCGGCTCTCTGTAGCTGAAGTAGAGGATATAGGGGCTGGGGAATCGAGAACGCGGCGCTTCCGCCCGGCTCGTCTGGAGGGACCTGAGGACATGGACGCGGCAAGTCAGTACTAGTCAGCGGGCAGCAAAATAACAGATAATTCGAAAGGAGATGCGCACAAGTTCGGCCCCCGGCCCGGCTTGCCGCGCCACTGCTTGAGGTACCGCCACCAGCTGAGCGACGCTGCTCCTCGCTGCTCTCCTCCCAGCACTATGCTGCCCTTCGTCGTCGCTGCCCTCCTCGGCCTCTCGTCTGTGCTCGCGCGCTCGCCCCACTACATCCCAGAAGACCCCCATGCGTTTCCCAAATACCGAGTGACCTTCTTGAACGGCCTGCCCGTCCTTAATCAGACGGCGCACTCGTGGCTGCAGGGCGGCCTCAAAGGCGGCGAACGGGAGTTTCTCGAACAGCCGCTGGACGACGATCAATGGCAGACGAATCCATTTCGCAAAGGTATTGGTAGCGGAGATGACCTGCAGCAGGACTCTCTGAGCGAGCCGGTCAGTACACCGTCAGGTGTTTTTATTATGTACCAGAACAATGGTTAATCATGCACAGCCAGCCCATTGAGAGGCCTGCTGCTACTAACTACTCGCTAGAGCTTATGAAAATTGGGCCCCATCATTCCTATCTCTGCTATATCCCCCCACCGCCGGCCAACCCACCGCCGACGGAGGACAGCCAGCCAAATGTCACCCCCGTGCATAGTTGGTCTCTACTGCAGCCGCTCTCTGGTACATGTTTATACGTGCGTCCGCTTGTTTTTCGTCCGTCCCCCTTTCAATCAACTAAACGCAGCCAATTGCTACCTAGCACAAGCAAGGTTGGTTTACATATTCGTATTGCCATAATTCGCACGTCCGTCAATTCCGGGAGATGCCCCATGCGCACCCGCACCCTGGTAAGCCCATCACGTTGCCTTTGGTTATTTTAGAAAATGATAGATCAATTCGCGGTGCAGGGGGTTACAGGCCAGAAGAGGACCCTGATGTAAGTTCATTTCTTAGCACAGTCCTTCCCGAACTCGCGCTGATCCCGTCCACCTTATCTGATGTGCAGTCTGAGGCCTACACTCTGGGACGAGCACCGCCTACCCCGGAGCCTGGTGCGGAGCTGACTGTTTCTGAAGAAGCTGCGCTCGCGGCCAATCTCGAGTTGGCCCGAGACGCCGGCTCGAGTTACCTGGTTCAGCGCTGGGGCGACGGTACAATCTGCGACAAAACTGGCAAGCACCGGGAAATAGAAGTCCAGGTCAGTGATAATTAACATAAATGAACAGCCCTTTTCAGCTGATGCCTGTCGGTGTAACTGCGGGTCCAAAACGCTTCTAGTTCCACTGCTCGATGACCATGACAGACACCATCCTCTTCGTGAAGGAAACCAAAACCTGCCACTACGTCATGGTCATTCACACACCTCGCTTGTGCGGCGAACCCGGTTTCAAGTCTAGACACGAACAGCGCGAAGAATCCTTCATCCGCTGCAGGGAGATCGTCCCTTCCATAGATGGTGTCGACAAGAGCCTGCCGGAAACAGATTATCCGTTCACTTTATCGCAGCAGGCGCCCAAAAAGCCCATATTACCGCCTGCTGCGCCAACCAAAGCGCCGCTCGAGCGCGCTACAGGCGTTTTGAAACAAGCTTTGAGCGGCGAGGTCCTCAACCGCGCTTTCGAAGCTCTTCTTGCTACCGAGCAGGTACCAAGAGGTGAAGTGGTGGTTGAGCGCCTTGGGGACACGGACGTCGTCATTGAATTCCTGGATGCGGATGCCCTCCTAGCCGAACACGGGGAGGGTGAAGGCGTGCAAGCTATCACGCATGAGCACTTGGCCGAAGCTCTTCGTGCCGCTGGATTTGATGTCAAGGGAGAGAAGAAGAGACAACCTAAGCAATCTCCGTCCAGTGACGAGAAGTCTGAGGAGGACGCTGGCCGGGCCTCGGACCCATCCTCGCAATCCCATGACGAACTCTGATGTATCTGTGCATATATAACGATATATAATAGGATTTGATTGTTTTGATTCGGAACATACAGATGAGCTTCTCCGTGGATGCAAAGTCCGCCGGGCCATTGGCATAAAAATTACAGCAAAATATATAGATGAAAGAGTTATAGCAGTCGCTCTATCATTAACGATGGTGAACGCCAAACATAAAAGAGCATATAATAAAAACTTTTGTGTAGCCCAACAGTCATCATCGCCATCTAAAATGAAGCAGAGGTAGCGATCGATAATAAATGACGTTAGATGGATATAGGGGCAGTTGAGGCAAAGAACTCGAAAAGCAGATGCCTCGCCGCGGAAAGGGCATATGTCTACAAAGAAATTGCAGTCCCAGGTGGTACAAAGGGATATTTACATGGACTTCGTCTGGAGACCCCCGCCAGGGCACTTCTTTATTGGATTTCCATGACTTGCTAAAAGAAGCGCCGCTTGTGCGCCTTCTCCTCGACAGCGACCTGGATGTGGTGGTGGTTGCTCTGCAGACGCTCGACCGAGCAGGGGACAATGCTCTTGAGCCACTCGTCGCCGTCGTCCTCCTCTTCCGGCTCATGGCAGTGGTCCTCACAGATATGATTGCCGGGCGTCTCGATACCAGAGGAGTGGTGGCATCCACAAAGAAGATCGTCGTGCTTGCCCCGACCCTTGAGCAAGTCGGTCAGGGTGCAGCGGGCAGAAGGCTCGATGTGCATCATCCTGCGCAGCGCAGGCCGAGTTTCCCGAGGGAGCAGGCGGAAGATGGACTCGGCGCCACCGCCGTTGAAGGTGGCGACAGAAGCTGCGCTGTCCTTCCTCGAGCGAGTTGACGTTGACTTGCTGCTGCCGCCGTTAGCGGCCGTGCCACGGATGGTCGTCTGTGAGTCCTCCTTGACCTTCCTCTTCCTCTCTTCCTCCTTTTTCTTCTTCTGGTCCTCCTCTTCCTTGACGACGCTCAGGGCCTCATCGGCAGCAGCCTTGACTCTCGGACTGGTAGGTCCATTGAACGTGTTCGCGCGGACTCTGTGGCCCCTCTCAGGAGGCGGGGCGAGCAACGGCAAGCCCGCGTTGACAGGCTTCATCGTCGGGGTCTTCACATCATCCTCGTTGACGACGCCGTGGATGGTCCGCGGAGGCTCGAAGAACGCAGGGCCAAGAACAGGGCTGGCCGGCAAACTCTCGGTCGACTGGCCTGGCCGCGCAAAAGTCCTCACGCTCGGGTCCATATCTTCCGTCGGGCTGTCGACCTGCCGGAGGCCCAAACCCAAACCCAAACCCTGCCCGTTGCCCATCAGCGCAACGTCCTCCTCGCGCCACACCGCGGGCAACGTAGCCGTGCTGTGCGACAGAACCGAGTTCGGGTGCTGCAGCGACTGGCGGACGCGGTCCCGGCGGATTTGTTCTGGCGAAGCCGAGCCGTCCTTCTGCAAGACGGACGAAGGTGGCGACGCCCGCGAGATCGCAGTCTCAGAGGCAGAGTACTCGGACGACGAGGCGATGGATGGCGTCCGGCTGGAGGCGGCCGTACTGCTCAAGACCGAGGCATCCGAAGGGTCAAGGTAAGTGCCAGTGCTCTCCGCCCTCCGCGGCATCGACTGGAGGCCCGTCGAGCTGCTCCTCGAGCTCGGAGCCAACGACGGACTCTTCCTCGGCGAAGTAGTCCCATTCGCCTTCTCCTGCTTCACGTCGCCGTTCTGCTCGGGGGCAGGCAGCTTGGGCACGGGTGGGGGCAGACTCGGCTTGCGCTCCTTCTTCTCCCTCAGATCCGGGTGCGCGTTCACAAACGCCCTGAAGCTCGCATCCTTGCGCGGGTCGGGAATCGTCCACGGGAACCGCCTCAGGACCATGCACATGAATATAATGCCCACGCTCCACACATCCGTCTTGCGCGGATCGTACTTCTCCTGGCTGAGCACCTCGGGGGCGAGGTACGGGTCGCTCCCCACGACGCCCGACGCGAGCGTCGTCGACTTGCCCGGGTAGTGGAACACCGTCGCGGTGCCAAAGTCGATCAGCTTGACGATGTTGTCCTTTGTCATCACGCAGTTGTCCAGCTTCAGGTCGCGGTGCGCGAGCCCGAGCGAGTGGAGGTACTCGACGCCGTCGCAGATCTGGCGGAAGACGCAGTAGATCTCGGGGCGCGTCATCTTGCCGGACATGACCACGCTGAACAGGTCGTACGGAGCGTACTCCATGACCTACCGTGCGAGTCCAAGGTGAGGAAAGGGAGAAGCTTAATCAACGGTCTGCCCGACAGCCATGCAATGCTGTACGCACCTCGTAGTAATGCCCGTGGTCGCTGACAATGTCCACCGTGTGGATCACATTGATATGCTTCAGGGTGACACCGACGCAGAACTCGGCGGTCACTTTCTTCTGATACTCTTTATCACTCTCGCCTGCGCGCTTTGGCCTAAACTCCTTGACAGCGAAGATGGCACCTAGAAATAACGGCGCTCAGCAAGTCGCTCAAAAACCATTTTGACTTGGGTACACACCATTATATCCGTGCTTCGGTGCGCTCTTGATCAGCCTAACAGTCCCACCAGCCCCGCTGCCCAAAACACGCCCCCACTTGCCATACTTCTTAGTCAGATGCGCCTGCGTGAGCGTCCCCATGGTCGGGATCGGGTTCGTCCCCTCGCGCTGGTGATGCTTGCCATGGTGCTTCTCGTGCTTCCCACCCTGCTCGGACGGGCTGTGCTTCTTCTCCTCCGGCGTCGCAGCCTTGGGCGAATGGCGCTGGTGCTCGGCCGGCATGGGCGTGACAGGGTCGCCCGTCGACTGCTGGCTCATCCAGCTCGTCCCCGATACGCTCGAGGTGATGCTGGGGCTGCCGCGCCGCGACGAGCGCGAGGGGCTCGTCGAGCCCACGCTGAGCTGCGACGGGCTGGGCGGGTCGGTGCTCCCGCCGCTGTCCTTGCGCACCTTGGCCGGCGTCGCCGCGCCGCTGTCCTTGTCCTTGTCGCCCTTGTCTTTGCGGAGGAAGGACGAGAAGCGCGCGGAGGAGGCGACGCGCCTGGGTTTCTTCTTGCCGTCGCCGTCGTCGCTGCTGCCGAGGGCAAAGTCCTTCTCCTTGACGTCGGCGTCCTTTTCGCGCGCACGGACGGCGCTGTCGTCCTGCGAGGCGTGGTGCGCGTCCGCGACGACGGATAGATCCACGACGTCGCGCTCCTGCACGTTGATAAAGTGCTCGCCGCGGAGCTGCGACGAGGTCGCGATGTGGGCGCCGGGGGACGGCGGCGGGGACAGGGTCGAGGAGCGCTGATGTCCGTGGCCGTGGTCGACGCTGGAGGGAGTATGCGCATGCGATGCGTGCGAGGACGAGGGCGAGGGGTGGTGCGAGTGGTGGGGAAGGGTGTGGTTGAGGAAGCGCTTGAGCTCGCTGAAGGGCCCGTGGTGGTGCTTGGTCGACTTGTCCTTTTCCTTGTGCGGCGCGTCCTTGGCCGAGTGCAGAGAGGGCGGATGCGAGTCTGGGGGCGTGTGAGGATGCGATGACGCAGCCGAGGTGTAGCCTGATCCGGGTGCGGAGAGCATATTGTTGGCGGGGACAGCGAGGTATTCGGACGCGGGGTGCTCCCTCGGGCTCCCGGGTGGGCTACACGTCGAGGGCGTATTGACGGCGGACGACGCGGAGAGGCGATGGGGATGTCGGCCGGTGAGAGCAGACATCGAAGGCTTCTTCTGGCGGGTGCTATTGGGTTTGGATGGGCTCGGAGCAGAAGGGGCAGCGGGGATGGAGGTAGGGGGCGATTGAGCGGGTGGGTTATGTGCGGAGGGGTGGGGTGAAGACGGAAAGGGGCTGCTTTGGGAGGCGGGGGAAGGAGCCTGGCGGGGCAGATATAGCAGTGTAAGCACAATGCAAAGAGGCGCGGGCAAGCGACACACGAGAGAAAGGAGGGAGACGTGATTAAGCGGGGGAGGAAGCGTTTGGTAGGGCGAAAAAGGGAAAACGCCACAACGAGAGTGAGACAGCGAATAATGGGGGCGGCCACGCCAAGTGGATGATACGTCAGAAGGGAAGCTCACCTGCTCCTGTGCTTCGGGGTATCTGGCGGTGTTGTCGCGGTCTGGGACGGTGAGCAGACTGGCGTCGGGGGCGTCGGGGGCGTCGGGGGCGTCGAGGGCGTCGGGGGCGTCGGGGGCTGCGCGGGCGTCAGGGACGGCGGCGGGGAAGAAGGAGCGCGAGCCCGAGGCTGAGCGCAGATGGGGCGGGCGGGAGTTGGAGGGCGGGCGGGAGAGGAGAACGGGCTGCATGGGGGACGCGGAGAGCATTGTGGGCAGAGGTCAGAGCATGGACGAAGATATTAGTCGTTGTGGAGAGAACGTCGATAAACGGGGCGTCCGCTGCCGACATCATGCCGCGCCCGATGCCACTGCTCGCCCCTGCCTTCTCCCGGTCCGACCCACCGGCCCCGGCCAGCGTCACGACTCGCTCTCCGCATGCAGCCAATGGCAGTCTGACCCTAGCCGAATCAGTCATCGCATCACGTAAGCCACCCCAGCTCGTCCCAAGCCGCTCGGCACCCTCTCGGCACCCGCCATCGTCGCTGCTCTGCTGCTTGAGCTTGTCATAAGCTTATTGATTTGCTACTCCTTGTCCTCAATCCAAACGTTCCATGTCCGCAGAGCATACGCATTGATCGTCGTCTAGTACCATGTAGTTCCTGCCTGTAGGCCCTGTCCTCGTATCATCAACGTCATCTTACTAGCAATGTCTATCTATCATCAAGCTCCCATCCCACTGTGTTTCTTCAAAATGCTCTTTTGCCTGCTTCCTGATCTGACGTACCCTCTGATATGATGTATGAACGCCCCTCCGCCCATTCCAGATCTCCTCGCCCTACAACGTCCCGTTAACCTTCAACCTCCGCCTCCCCGGGCGCCCTCATACCATATTCGTCAGATCTCTCCTCATCTCCCGGTCGGCTGACGCCCCCTCCCTGTATATATACCCCGCGCACCAGCAGGACCCCACTCAGCACACCCATGATCGCCTTCGCCACGATAGGCCGCATCCTCGCTCGCTCGCAGGCGAGTCCAATTCTCACTGATTAATGATTACCAGAGCAGCCCCTCGCATTGCGTCAACGCCCGTACACATCCCGCGGCATCCCTGCTTGCGGCTTGCCAGGAACTCCGAATGCCTGCAAGTACACTCCCTACGGGCAAGCTCCAGATTACCCGCGATTGGCCCGCCGCCGTGCCGCCAATGAAGAGCGTCCTTCCCATGATTGGGTCGGTCCAGTCCAGGCGTTCGCGCACTTTCTGCCAATGGACGGCTGGCGAGTAATCTGATAACACCCTCCCCGACTACGTGTATGTATTCTCTGCCAGGATTCGGAATCCCCGTTCCTCGAACGAAAGCAAATGCGTCTGGACCATGTCAGACCCACCAGTGCGTTGCACGCTCCCACATCCAAAGACACCTGTCCCTCGATGCAGGGACGCACACCGCCATATGCCAGTGCCCACACGCTCCTACTCAGCACCTCCCACACGCTTGCGGCCATCCCTCTGACATCGACCCAGGCAGTCCGTTCTCTGCGTGCGCGCTTTCCTCGGGGGTCAGGCGCCCGGCGTTACAGTAGCCCTTCTCTGCGGCGGCCTGCCCTGTGCAGTCGGTTCTGACGTGTATGGAATTGTACAATTGTCAATGCAACCCGGCCACGGCCTTTGCTCGAGACGTTCCGCTGCTTGCGGGCACGGCGATGCGAGGCCCCGACGTATTCATCGCGTGCTCGTACACTGCAAATTCTGCGTCGTATCCTCCGGCCGTACCGTTCTTATTGTCCTGTTCCCCCTCCACATCAAATCAACCCTGCAATACTTGTGCGTGTATCAGAACCCGCCTAACCCTTCTAGTACGCTGGCTTGCTTTCCGCCTTACGCCTATGCATTCCATTCCTCGGCTCGCTACGATGGCTAATACCTTCCGCCCCTTCACAGGGTCCAAGTAGTAGTAGTAGTACACTCTCCAGCCTCGCAGCCTCCACGTGCATCATCAAGTCGACTCCCAGCCTATCCGAGGGTGGGTCCAAGAATAAGGTGGTCCGAAAATAACACAGATGCATAGGCTGAGCGTCAAGTACAGTTGTGGGTGCGTGTGGGAGCTGAAATTCTGATCTGACCGTGGACGGTAGCCCTAGGACATAATGACTACATCATAAAACGCGTGTATCTTACATGTTGACTCATGATAATAAAGGCACCGCTGTCATTTCGTTGTGAGCACTCATCCGGTGTACAGTATGGCTCGTCAGCATAAACGATTGCGTTTGACCACGGACAGTCAGCTGCGCGCGTCAATTCTCCGCATGCCCAATGACAATGGTCCTAAGATTCTTCGACATGACCAGTCCACGCATCTCCCTGGCTTTGATTTCCTTGGCAAGCCGTAGCTCTCGTCGATCCTCCTGAACCCGCCTTCACCAATAATACCGCCGTCCGTGCGCACCTTGTACATCGAGCGCTACTGTATGTATTCGCTTCTCACAATGAGAACGACGATGTCCCCGCAGAGCCAGCATCCTGGTAAGCTTGCTCGGTCTATAGGCTGTCACGCGGTTATCATTATCGCACACACAATCAGTCTTGGCGAATGCACTTTTCTGCCTCTCATCCCAGGAATGCTTGGGACGGTCTACTCTCGGGTCACACACACACGGATCCACAACGCTTGGCGCCCGCTATCCCCGATATCCACGTCCCTCGTGAGACGAGTGCGAGGGGGCCAAGAGCGCACAGAAGCGATGTGCAATTTAAATGTCAATCCACAACTGCACGGAACCCCGCCCCAAGCATTTACTTACTGTGGATAACCTCCCCTACCGACTCGGAGCACTCCAAAAGCCCGCACCCCGGTCTTCTCTCCTTGGCCTTCGGGTCGGAGGTTCTGGTGACTTCGCACCCGCGTTTCAAGAAGCACTTGGCTTTGCCAGTGCCACAGCTGCAATACCGATGATGGTATTTGTTCTTGTTTGGTGGCATGCCACACCACAATATGATACACCGGCGCACGAGTGGATGAACACAAGCAGGCCCAAGCATTCCTGGCGCCATGTTCTCGACGTTCTTATCCGAATATAGGATTGGCTATAGCTAAGCGCGGACGACTACTGAACCATATCACCCCGCGTCCAACCTGTTAGCGCCTTCACTCCCAATCCCTACGCAGACGGAAGCACCTCAACTAGATGCTAAGGAAGTCTCAGGCGGCCTCAGCCAAGCAGCCTCTGAGAGGTGATTTGCCTTCCGTCGTCTCCCTGCGTATCCAGGGAAGTCGGACAAAAATAATCAGTGTGCGTCGAGTCCTTGCAGCAGCGCATCATATCCACCGACCCGCTTTTCAATCGTTCACTGGAATGTGCTGTCCCACATATCACTGCCGCTTCTCAAGAGTAGATTGGTATCCGAGAATACAGTCCCCCACTTCGGTCGCTAGGCGACCAAATTTAATGTCGGTTGCCTATCGGCTAAGCATGTCTCGCTTCCAAAGGATACATGACCCTCATTGGGGGACGTAGTTATCCCTTGCATAGACTCTTCAGGATCATCACGACATCCCGGAAGCTTAGGAGAGGGACATCTAGAAGCATCTCGTGAAGAACGCCCAAGAGTCGCGCAGAGTGGTGAGTCACCGGACGAGAAGAGGTGCGACCGACTGTGGTGTGTCGGTCTTGACAGTGAAGGTATTCAGGAAGCTTTGAGACGTTCAAAAAACAGGACATACAATAGAGCATAGTATTACACTGTTGAGAAAAGGTGTAACAATCCCATGTTCACGGGTGCAGGCACCTCAGCCCTCGTCTTCGGCATCCCGCTTCCGCTTCATCTCCCTTGACATCTTGTGTTGAGCTGCTTCGTGTTTGGCCAGTTCTATCGAGACCTTGGATATAGGACTCTTGGATATTTCTGTAAGAGCATGTCAGCGTAACCAAGCCAGCGTAACCGATAAGGACAGGGAATGCAGCTATACCTTGTTTCAGGTCATACCTGTAAAACAGTAGATCGGCGAACAGATCCAGTTATAAACTAACGGAAAGACTTACATAACCTCATAATCCTCGTTCGTTAAGAAGGTGATAGCAGTACCTTGCTTGCCCGCTCGTCCAGTACGACCTTGATTGCAAGAGAACGTCAGCAGCAGCCAGACACAGACCGAAAGAGAACCTACCAATACGATGGACATATGCTTCAATAGTATTTGCCATCTGGAAGTTGATGACGAGACTAACGTCTTGCACGTCGATACCACGTCCGGCGAGATCGGTAGCGACCAGGATATCAGCGTCGCCAGTCCGCAGAGAGTTGAGGGCAGCTTCACGCTGCTCCTGGTTCTTGCCGGAATGTAATATTGCAGCATTCCACTGCGAAGCTCGTCTAAGTATTAAGCACCCAGGGCGAAATAGCGCGAACTTACTCCTCCACGTTGTAAGCCCTTTGCGACCATATCTGCGGTCTTCTTCTGATTGACGAAGACGATGATGGGGGGAGGATATTGGTTACTATTGAGGATTTCAAGGATCCGTTGTCTGGAGGTTGCGAGGCAGTGTGTCAGTGAACATCGCATCTTTTTGGTCTTCAACTCACATTTTCTTTTCATCGCCAGCGACAAACTCCACCTTCTGTTCGACTGTGTCGACAGCCCGGCCAGCCTCACCGATAGTGATGACAGCTGGTCTCTTCAGATATTTCTTCGCTAAACGTTCAACCGGCGGTGGCATCGTGGCAGAGAATAAGGTGGTTACTCTAGATCTTCCTTTTCTTACCATCGTCTCTCCGTCTACATCCATCTGTTCACCGTTATCCTCGCCTTCCATCAACTCCGAAGGCAAACGATCGAGAATGAACAACAGGTCCGCCTCGAAACCGAGGTTAACCATTCGATCTGCTTCATCCATGACGACATAACGGCATTGAGACAAGACAAGGACGTGTCGTTCAATAACGTCCTTCAGACGACCAGGCGTAGCGATGATGATTTCCGCGCCTTCCCGCAAATTGAATTGCTGTTCTTCAACAGATCTCTGAAGCCGCAGTTAGTCTGCTGAGCAAAACACAGATCATCATAGACTTACTCCTCCCACGATCGAGACACACTTGAATCCTAGGGGACTAGCAAACTTCCTGGTTTCACTCTCAATCTGTTGAGCCAATTCACGGGTAGGAGCCATAATAAGCGCATAAGGACCCAAGTGTCTGTTTTCGTCCGTGAAAGGTGGCAAGCGAGATATGAATGCAAGCATGGGTATCACGAATGCCGCCGTCTTTCCGGAACCTACAAATCCCTGTCACATAAAAGCCTTCGAGGATATAATGGCGGAACTAACCGGTCTCTGCAATACCGATAATGTCCCTGTTCTGCAAACCAATTGGTATGGCTTGTCTTTGGATGGGCGAGGGCTCCTTGTAACCAATCTTCTCGATGACTTCCAATATCTGGACAGGGATACTCGACTCCGTCCAAGAGCGCAGCGGATGCGGGATTTGTCCCCCTGACAGCATGCGAAGCAAGTATGAACAAGAGGTCGCGCAAAAAACTTCGAAGCGCACCTCGGGCAGAAATGCTGAAATCCTCCCGAAAAATACGCCAGTCACGGTCTCGCATCTCTTCAAGCGGCTTCTCTGACCAATGTCTTTCATCCAGGCCCGCTTTCGCAGCTTGGCGACGTTCGCGTGCATCCGCAAGCTGTACGTCCCCGGTCCTTCTGGACGCAATCGGACCAGTATCATCGAGCCCGGCAAGGTGACCACGACCAAACATGATCTGAGCGCCTTGTCGATTGATACCCGCCGCTGCCGGTGACTCGTTGTTCAGCGTGTCATCTTGAGCGTCCCAGTCGAAGACAAATTTCCGGTCATTCATCTTGCGAATCTTCCGCTTCTTTTTGTCGACGCCAAGATAACGGGAGCGTATTGCAGACATCTCACTTTCCGTCATGGAAGGGACGTATGATTCCGATGCTGCAGTTATCGGGGATGGAGATGGAACGCTCTGGGGTGGAGGCATAGAGGATGACGGCGCTGGAGACGCCGTCGACGACGCAGGACCAGTAGGGGGAGCTTTCCCCCTGTCTGCACGAGGGCCAGTCGGGATGCCATTCTGGTAGGCAGGAGGACGTGACTGTCGGTCGTCAGGTCGCCTGCTATCTCTATTGTCGCGACGACCATACCTATCTCCTCTGTCTCTGTCATGCCTATCGTCGTCTGCGAAATTCAACATGATCAAGTCAGCTCGGCATGTACAATAGGATCTGCATCACTTACACCGTCCTCCTCCTCTCGGATGATGGCGCTCTCGTTCCCTGTGCTGAAGTTCCTCAGCCTGTCGCTCTAAAACTTCTCGCTCCCGTCTCGCTCTCTCTTCTTTCTCCCGTTGCTCCCGAATCTCCTGCGCTCGTTTCTCAATCGCTAGTTTGGCGCGCTCCTCCTTGGTTAAGAACCTAGGCTGAGAGCGAGACCATTCAGTAGATGCTCCTGTGAAGACAGGATTTGCTGACCTTCGAAGCAGCCTCCTTTTCGGCCTTCTGTTTGGCCAGTAAGGACTCGATAGAGAGAGGTTCGGCTTTCGACATGATGGACGTCCTTGCGTTTGACCGTTAGCCCGCCACTGGCATGTAATGCACCTCACGTGGCCCCAACTTCCTAATACGTCCATTATGTTATACCACTGGCAGAGCAATTTCGAGGCGGAAGACAGGCTCTTAGCCCGACCCACTCTCAGTCAATCGTCTTCAGGCCTACAGTTTCTCGCCCTTGTCGCGTTCTCGTTCTTGGAATGAATCATAACTACGAGAGGTTCCAGTCTCCTCGTCCTGAGACGCCAGAGCCGGGTTCGCGACAAGGACGAAGAAATGCGGCTCCTGATGTCCAGCTCCTGGACGACGATGGTGCTATTTCAGAGCAGGTACGGTCTGATCCCCTTAAATTTAATGGGGTTTGCTTGAGTGTTTTATTGTTTCTACAGTTGGAGATCTGTCTGAAGCACATCTTCGCGAAGTACTGCACTCCTCCTGCAGCAGGCCTCGAGCACGCTGGGAAAGGCCTCGTACTGATGACTCCCCCGGAAGGAGCGTATTTATCGGAAGAGGGACTTGATGCTTGGGCCAAAGACACCAATGGTGTGCCGTTTTCTGAGGAGACGAAGGAAGAGCTCAGGCAGTTCCTGGATGTCACTGACAATGGCGATCTGACGTGAGTAACTGTATTTGAGCGGTTTGGGTGTTCCGTACCCTTTCCTTGATTTTGAACCGGTTGCTGATGTGATATCAAAGGTTCAAAGGGTTCCTGCAAATATATCAATTGCAGACGGAGAACGATGAGGAAGAGACCTGGCGAGACCTTGTTTGTGGCATTCCTCTCTCTCCGTTATATAGGTGACTGAACCAGTTTCCTGCGTTGAAAGTCTAGTCATGGATTTGATCGAACGCTAAGGCTTGTATCAAGTCGCCGCGAAGAGCTGGAAGACAGCAATCATACATTGTAAACTCTTCCCTTTCTCCTTTGTTCATACTAACCTTACGTTGAAGCTTGTCTCCGACTCGTTTCTAGCCCACCAGGTGATCTCAACGGCATCAGCGTCGGCGCATGATCTGCTCGCCCCATCTTCTCTCCCGTCTTCGATACCCCCACATAGTTCAGCATGAACGCCTTCATACCACCTCTTCCACGCGCAAGTACTACGACTATCCACGATCTGCGTTTATGAAGAACACGTAGCTAGTATCAACCTGCCCGAGTCCACGGACCGGCTGCTATCCCAACGCGTCGTTACGCTCCTCTCACGTTTCCTTACGTCTCATCGCATGCCAGTAAGGGGCGAGTGTATGCTCCAGACATTTATGTTCAATGCTCCATCTACTGCATTATATATTGTCACTCCAGAGGTACTCCTTGAGTGATTTAAAAACTTGGTATTAATAGATGAACTTCCTCTGTACGTCTTGCTGTAACGACAGAATTGTACACTCCCAAAACGTCCGTACAGTTAACGCGGAGACGTTCGTTTATGCGGCAGCAGTTACCGCGGCTGAAGCGGGGGGCGCTCGATTCCGCGGTGGGACGCGCAATCCCTTCGCTCTCATGGCTTTACGTTTTGACTCTGCAAGAACTGTTATAAGTCCTGCAGTACAGTCGACGTCTTGACTCACCTTCGATGTACATCTTGTCCTCTTCCGAGTCGAAGCCAATAGTTTCTTGTTCGACGACCTCCGCAGCTGGATCCACTTTCTCGTCCTTTCCTGCCTTCCTCGTCTTCGTAGGTTTCTCAACCTTGAACTTCGCAACGTAGAAACCATCCATGTTGTGAACGTGAGGATAGAATCTTCTCGTCATCGACACGGATTGGTGGAAAGTCTTGCCACGATAGCTCGTGAAACCTGGCCGGCCAAATTCCAGGCCTGTTTCGACGAGTTTGACGTTTGGTCGCTTGCGCAGGGCATAGTCGACCACAGCCTCGTTCTCATCGACCGTCACAGAACAGGTCGAGTAGACAAAGTAGCCACCGGTCTTGGACGTAGGGCTCACACTGTCGATGGCACACAGGATAAGCTGTTTCTGCAGATGAGAGAGCAACATGAAGTCGCGCTCAGTCTTGCAGCGCGTGAGTCAGTCAGCGGAAATACCCCATAGATGAATGGCATTTACCTTGTTAACCTTCACACTGGTATCCTTGCTGATGATACCAGTCCCACTACAAGGAGCATCCAATAGGACCCGATCGAATCCCCCTATGACCTTGGGGAATTCCCGCCCGTCATACGAGCAGACAACCACGTTTTTGCACCCCAGCCGATGTACATTGGCCGTGAGACTCTTGGTACGAGCTTTGTTGGCATCATTGGCAAAGACGACCCCAGTATTCTGCATCAGGGCCGCCATATGCGTAGTCTTACCGCCCGGTGCGGATGCCATGTCCAGCACCCGCTCGTTGGGCTGAGGGGAAAGCGCAATAACGGGGAGGAAAGAGGAAGCGGCTTGCAGCATGTAATGGCCCGCAAGGTACTCTGGTGTGGCACCTTCATAGAGGCAGGTGAGCACAGCAGTTCTCAACAGTGGACGACTGGGATTTTACCTATGGGGACACTGCTCTCGAATACTTGCAACCCGACATTGGTCCACTTGCCGATCGGTTCAAGATTGACACCGCGATTGATAAGTGCTTGAGCTAGGTCTCGCCGTCTGGTCCGAAGCGTGTTTGTCCGTATGGTTACGGGACGAGGTACCTCGTTCGCTTCAAAGAATTCGATAGCCTAGGAGGGATGCCATCAACACGTTTACCCGAACCCTACTTGGGACGCATACCTCTGCGACGGGGAAAAGATGGTAAAGCTTCTCAGCAAGGAAATCGTTATACCCATAGTAGCTTGCGATATCCGAAATTAACTGGTCTACATACTCCGTCCTCGCTCTGTAGGCCGTATGACTTAAATCAAATATTCCCGGAACAAATACTGGACATACCGTCCTCTGTTGAGCTTCTTGAAGTTCCCCAGCACACGCACGCACTCCCGCATTCGCCGCTGGACGAGGTGCACGTCTGGTCCGCCGGCCTTCTTCTCCTCCTCCCTCTCCTCCGCCGTGGGCAAGTGGAACTCCTCACCGTCCCCTTCCTCATCACCATCCATATCCACATCCAAGTCATCTTCGCCGTCCACTTGCGCGGCCTGTTGCATTTCCTCCATGTCCAGCTCAGCTTCCCGAGCAGCGCGGGCATCTAGGGCCCGCGAGCGAGCCTCCATGTTAGCCATGGTAATGGGGCCGTGTTCGTCTTCGGAACCCTCGTCTGAATCGTCTGACGATGCATCTGAGCCAGTGGGTATTATTTTGTCTGGCCGGTCCTGTTGCTTCGACCTCCGAGACTTGAGCTTCCCTACGAAAGCCTCGGCGTCGTCATCATCATCAGAACCAAGGTCCAGTTCCTCTACGGGACCTCGCAGAGGATCGTCGCTGCAGGAGCAAGGGTTGTAAGAGTCTACAACAGGGAACATTGATGTGATATGGACTTACTCTTCTGCTTCACCCTCCATCTCCAACTCCTCCCATTCGCCTTCGTAGGCGCTGCCTGCATCATCGTCGTCGCTGTCATTAAAAAGAGCCCTGTTATAGAGTCAGAATATTGAAGCTACTGCAGCAACTTGACAGGGACGTACTTGGCTTCAGCCTTGACATCGTCTTCTTCATCCACGTCTTCCCATCCAGCACAACTCCCCTCCCCGTCGCTCTCCTCCACCACCTTGCTCTTCTTACTTTCAGATTTGCCATTCACCGTCTTCCCCTTCTTCCCCTCGGACTTTTTCTGACTTGCAAAACTGACACTCTTTTTCGGACTCCCCTTCGCTGTGGTCTCTTTTCCTTCCCTTAATTTCTTTCCGGGACGACTCTCCTGCTCCGGCTCTGCCTTCCGCTTTCCCAATTTCTTCGCCGACGGTCTCCTGGCCTCGTTGTCGCCAGCAACTTCCGCGAGCGGCGCAGGCGGACCCTGCTTATTCTTAGCGCGACGACCCATGTCTTGGAAGAAGTATTAGGGGATCCGGGGAGCGTCAGAGAGCGTTGAGCTCGAGTTACCGCTCGATAGCTGAGAGTAGGACCCTGAAAATACTGATAAATGCCGGTGCGAGACTCAAAATTTCCATGTCTGGATTGTCTGAGGCTCCCCCCCGCATTTTTGTCCGGATAAAATACCGGCCTCCCGAAGGGGCCGATTTTTGTCCGGACTAATGCACCGGCGTCTGAAAAAAAACAGAAAAAAAGGTTTTCTCGCCTATCAACTCATTAGAACACTGTACAATGTATCAGTAATCGTACTAGGACTCGAATGCAATCAATAAAGCGACAGAATTCACGATGGCCGCCCACTCCCATCAACCATCCTCCTCCCCATCCGAGTCCAGAACATACTAGAAACTATATATCACAGT